GTATGTTCATTAATGTTTATTGACATGTGGCGAGACACAAGGAGCCCTGTGTGAACAGGGGTCTGTTTCAGAAACGTTAACAAACTAAATGAAAGGCCGAAGCTCCATTTTAATCAGTTGTACATAGAAATATTAATGCATAAATAAGCACACTGCGTACATTTATCAAAAAAAGGGTCTGAGTCAGAGTGTGATAAAGTGTCAAAAAATAAATACAGTTAAGTTTTATTCAGTATTATTTATCCATCAATTTATTAGGGCTGTACCCAAATATTCGGATATTCGAATATTCGTTTCTATGGGTAGGTATTCGTTATGAAAATTTGGTATTCGATATTCGTTATTTACTTTTTTAATTATTATTATTTTTATTTTTTTTACGTATTTTTTTGGTGCTAAATGTAGTCTTTTTGTTGTTGGTAAATGTAGGTTATCAATAAACATCAAAACTTTTAAATTGCATTGTTAAAAATGTGAAAATATAGTATAGCCTGCTGAGCTTGTGCACATGGCAGGCTTGAGCGCATCCGTCTGAGGCTGTGGATCAATGTCAAGTTTTACCACTTTATCACTATTCCCTCTAACTTGTAGCTGTTTTTTCGTTATCTTTTGAATTTAACATGAATTATGGAACCATTTTTGTCAACGTTTGTTTCCCCCGTTTTGTACAATAAATTATTGTTTAAAGTTTCAACAAGTTTCTTTTGGCGTGCGTGACACAAGTGTGTTTTGAAAACAGCCGCGGACTGTCACCTGCTCAACGCATCAGTACCTTCGGATGCCATGACAGTGATAGCCAATAATGTCAAAATATCATTTACAGACCGATTCAACAGACGATCACTGCTGGCCGACCCGCAGGTCCATTTGCGGGACCTGCGGGTTACGGGTCGACCCGCACATCACTACTCAGCTCAGTCTATAAGGCTGTACACAACAGTAAGGCTATAGACATTATATTCTATTCAGGCCGGCAGAACCAGCAGCGCATCAGGTCTACAGTGCACGTCACTGCTGATTAACCATTTTATTGCATCAAAAGAAAGCATAGAATAATGTACTGAAGGAGACTGTTGTGCCATCACATTTTTTTGTGGTTTGAGAGCAAAGATCCAGTCGCCGCTGTGCAAAACTCCGCAATACAATCAAAAAATGGCATTCAGGACAGCCCTACAATTTATTATTACGTCATAGCCTACATTATGTTTTAAATATATTTGTACAGCTTTAATCTGACAGACATAATGCAGGGGACGGCAACTGAAGATGAAAAATATAGTCGATGATTCACCCCATATTTAACCAAGTAAGTCCCGGCTCTTTTTCAAGGGAGACCTGGCCGAGACAGCAGCACACAAAAAAATTACAGCCAACAGCCACACAATATAAAACATCAAAACAATTAGGACACCTATGCACATTGACGAGACCCAACCGCCTCTTTCGTCCTTGTACTTGCAAGGAGTTTAAAATCAGACAGGGAGACCAGTTCATGTAGCTGTAACTCTTTTTGAAGGTAATTCCAAGTGATAGGAGCAGAGGACATAAAAGTACAAAGGGAGTTTACTCAGTGTGGCTTATTAAATGAACAAATACCAGTGACTGAGCCTACGAAAGGTTGAAGATGGCGACCAGCCCTGGAGTAAAGCGTACAGTGACGAGTGAGGGCTTCACAGTTTGTTTGTAACAGCGATAACTACGGATAGTCCTGAGTAACAAACTAATGTCCTAATGCCCTTTCAATCTGGCCTTGATATGAACTGAATCAATGAGGAAACTAGTTTTCACTAAACCTGCTTTCTGACACAGGGCCCAGATCTCCACAGGTGGCGGTGCCCTTTTACAACGTTAAACTGTAATAAAAACATGGACTCGGGGGGCGTCCGGTGGCTTCGGCAGTGACCCTGCTCGGGCTGCAGCTATCAGTTATTTTAGTAATCAAGTATTCTATGGATTATTCTGGTGATTTATCATGTGATTGGATAAGTAATACTGCATGTTTTCATGTAATGACTCTAGCTTTATTTAAGGGTAACGTTAATAAATACAAGAAGATAAGAAAAGTCAGAAATTAGATAAATGAGCAGCACATTTGCTCTTGCGAGTAAGGGGTGCGCATGTGTTAACGTGTGCGTGACTTACAATATGAATGAAGCTCAGGCTTAAACAAATTGACGACAGCATTTTATTTTCCATGTGTTGCTGTATTCGCGAGCAAATTTTGGCGAATACGCGTAATACATCGCCAGGTAACGTTAGCCATCGCATTGATTTCTGTTATTAATCAGCCATTTTAAAGCCATAATACACATGCATACTTCACACGCATTATGAATCTCAACCAACAATAACCGATTAAATGCAATTGAACATGACGTTAACGTTGTGTCGGGTCGCTCAGCGAATCGATGCACACACTGAATGTTTTCCACTTAGATGGTGTAGCATTGAGGACGTGCTGTTGTGGTATGCTAACTCTTTAACTTGGAATGATCCCACGCCCTTGTCACTGTCGTTGTCTTCGGGGTGTCTCTCGCTCTTTTCTTGTTGCTCTTCCTTCGAAGTTTTGCAGTCCGCTCAGGCTCAATTCCAGCCTGCAGCCCTTCACTGCACGCCATCCACCAAAAAGGTCTAAAAATGTCACCTTCAGACTAACCAGTTTGTCAGCGAAAAACAGATGAAGTATCAGATTTTAATTCCAGACTTTCAGCTTCCATTTTAAACCTAAAGGAAAGATAAACAATCTCTCATCATCTCTTGAATTTGGTTCATTGTTTACTCAGGTCTCTGAAAATGTATTAAAATGTGTCCGTCCTCAAACTGAGTTGTTTAGATATGTAAAAAGCATAAAGTGTTTTCCAGATTATTTGAACTTAATAAAGGCAACACAAGAACTGAAAGCTGCTTCATTTATTACATATGTTTCTTTTATCTCTCCTCCTTGAAAAGAAATCACACCATAGTAAAAGACATTTTAACGAGTCATTTATCGACATCTGAGCAACAGATTCCCCTGGTTGGGGTCGAAAGCTTCAGAAACAACAACCTATTTGGAATTAAAGGATGAAAGTTAAAGCTCAATAAATGTCATTCTTTCAAAAAGTGTATTTTATTCATTTCAGTAAGGCTGTTACTTTAATTTCTGGGCTTTTATTTTGAAGCTCAGAAATCCATCTGAGCCTTCAAGCTGTATTCTTCACTGGTAAATGCTTCAAAGAGTTCAAACAACAGAATGGGTATTTCATTTATAATTCCAGAATAAAGGTGGCAAAAGCAGTGTGAAGAAGAAGGAACAGGCAGATGGTTTTATAGAATTCAAAGAAAAGTAGGTGTGATGAGAAGGATGGTGAGATCCTGAAGAGGGGAAACTATAATATCAAGACTGTGATTTGATCATTCAGGACACATTGTCTTGTAATTACGACATACGTTTTTGTAATTATGAGATCTTATCAGCGCGCTTCATTGAATGCAATGCACTTCATTGTCTACCCATATAATGCTTTTATTCTGAAAAACATTGACCGGAAGTATCGTTTACTACGGAAGGGCACGGCATCCACTGAATGAATTTAAAAAAAATCGACACATTATCTCGTAATTACATAGAAATGAAGTTGAGTTTTGATTAAAGAGATATTTTACAGAGAAGTTCAAGTCAGAGATGTTATCAAGCATTTTTACTGGATCTTAGGAGAATGAATCTGATTGGGAGAATATAGTTTTGTTTTATTTACTGTCTACATTTTCTGCATGTTAAGATCCCTCCCCCCCCCCCCCCCCCCCCCCCCCCCCCCCCCCCCCCCCATAGACATCCCTTCTGTATCCACCCGTTCTCCCTTCATCCCCCCCCCCCCCCCCCCCCCCCCCCCCCCCACCCTTATTATCAGCGAGAACATTTGAGATAGAGTCCCGATCCACACTCCACACCAGTTGGTGGCGGTAATGCACCTTATCGTTTTTGACAACCGCTATAAAAAGCCAAGAAGAAGAAGAAGAAGAAAGACGATGGCGTCCAGTAGACACTTGTCAGTAGAGTGACTTTGCAGTGTGAACATGTCTAAAGTCCAAATGCTGAGATCGTTGGTGAAGCAGCGACTAACTGCGGCTGCTGAAGAGATATTTGGGCTGTTTGAAAGAACGATAGCAGAGTACGAGGAGGAACTTTGTCGATCAAAAGAGGAGAACGAGCGACAACGGAAACTACTGGACGCTGTTTTCAACCCTCAGCTTCGGTTACACAGAGCAGGTTTGTTCATTAAACATTACAAGTTCATTATTAATAATATAACTGCTGCTTTGTTCAATAAATATTCAGTCTGTCGACGTTTAAAGCCACGTTAGCTTCTCTGGTGCCGTTAGCTTCTCTGGTGTCGTTAGCTTCTCTAGTGTCGTTAGCTTCTCTGGTGTCATTAGCTTCTCTGTCATTAGTTTCTGTGGTGTCGTTAGCTTCTGCGGTGCCGTTAGCTTCTCTGGGGTCGTTAGCTACGGCGGTGCCGTTAGCTTTTGTGTTGTTGTTGTTGTTGTTAGCTTCTGTGGTGTCGTTAGCTTCTGTGGTGTCGTTAGCTTCTGTGGTGTCGTTAGCTTTTGTGTTGTTGTCGTTAGCTTCTGTGGTGTCGTTAGCTTCTCTGGTGCCGTTAGCTTCTGTGGTGTCGTTAGCTTTTGTGTTGTTCTTGTTGTTGTTGTTAGCTTCTCTGGTGCCGTTAGCTTCTCTGCTGGTTGGTTATGTTGCATGGTCTTACATTCCTTTTGCATGTTTGATATACCATATACCATGTGTTTGTTTTTTATGAACCCTCAAATTCTCTGATTATTTCCGGTTTACATAAAACATATTTGACTGACCCCAAATGACTTCCACATTTTGGCTGCATCTCTGTCAAAGCGAATGATGTTAAAACCATCCACATGAAAGTCCACATCCTCAGAAAGCCATGTCTCTGTGAAACACAAAAGGCTGGTTTGTGAATCATTTCGCTTGTGTTCCCAAAGTGACTCCAGAGGTATGTTGTTAGTGTGGAGGGATAGCTGCGCCGACTCCGCCTGAAGGCAGCTCAGCTCCAACAGGTAGCACAGTGAGTAGACGAGCCTACCTGGGTCAATGGTAAATGGCTGCGCTGGTCATGAGCAGAGTGCAATAAACTGGTGATTGGAGCCAGAGGCAGGCCAGATGTAGCATTGTTGCCGTTGACATTCTGATAAAACAAGACAAGGCAGGAAAATATGCAAGAAAAACACGCAACTTCATGATGTTGACAAAGTCAAGCTTCTGGAATAGTTTGAGGTGACTCTCAAAAAGTCGAGTGGCAGGTTTGCCAAAGGAAACTGGCATATCACAAATCTACAACCATTTTAACAAATCACCTGAAAACTGTAAGTAACAGTTTAGCCGCTTAGCAATTTTTTTCCCAGATATTGCGGCTGCTGTTACTGTGGAGTTGCTAAGACCACCAAATACTGACTGCATTTTTCCTCATGCTGCTTTTGTTCCGATTAAACTAATCTCAATTTTGTCTTCATTTAGCTTTAAAAAGTTTTTACTTATATTGTTTCCAAGTGGAAGCATATATAATAAAAACAAAAGTGGGCCAAGAATGCTTCCTTGAGGAATACCACTCTAAGCTGTAGCGGAGATGTGCTGTCTTTTCAAGCGAGATCAAATAACTAATTTCGAATATATATGTTATAGCCGAGTTTATATACAAATAATATTATTTCCCATCTTTGCTGAGTAAGAGTTTTGTGCCTGTCCCATACAGTCAGGGTTGAGTTCAGTGAGGGATGCAAATTAAAGATTTGCTAATTGAAGTTGTACAGCACTATAGGACAACAAACTCTGAACCCCATTCTCATAGTCCTTTCTCAGCCCAGGCCTTTGCACCGAAAGTCTAAATTCAGAAGTACAGTGTAGTGATACTGCTGTTACTTACAGATGTCATATAGAGACCTGACACAGCTGAGTGAACACTGTGAAGCTGTTTGATGCTCAGAAATCTGTAGAAGTTCAGTAAGGAGTTTTTGAGCTGTGATGTGAATGAACGACAACATTTCTCTGTAACATCTGTGTGTTTCCTGTTTCCTGCAGACGTCCAGCAGCTGCTGGTGGTTAAAGAAGAGGTTCCCCCTGAGCAGCAGGAGTGGAGCTCCAGTGTGGGCCAGGAGGACCCAGAGCCTCCACTCATTAAAGAGGAACAGGAGGACCCAGAGCCTCCACACATTAAAGAGTACCAGGAGGACCCAGAGCCTCCACACATTAAAGAGGACCAGGAGGAACTCTGGATCAGTCAGGAGGGAGAGCAGCTTCAAGGGCTGGAGGAGGCTGATATCATCAACTTCCTTTTCACTCCTGTCCCTGTGAAGAGTGAAGATGATGAAGAGAAACCTCAGTCCTCACAGCTTCATCAAAGACACACTGAACAGATGAAAACTGGAGCTGATGGAGAGGACTGTGGAGGACCAGAACCAGCCAGGAACTCAGATCCAGATACACAGATACAGCCTGAGACACATGACAAGACTGGAGAGTCTTCTGAACCTGAGACTGATGACAGTGATGAATGGAATGAGACAAGAAAATATCAGTCAGGTTTGAATATTCTGAAAAATGAAGAAGTGTCTGTCAGTGATTTGAAATGTAGTGCTGGTGAGAAACCATTTATCTGCTCTGAGTCTGGGAAAAGATTTGGTAAAACTGGATGTCTGAAAGCACACATCAGAACTCATACAGGAGAGAAACCATTTAGCTGCCCTGAGTGTGGGAAAAACATTGGCGACAAGTCACTTGTAAGGCAACACATGAGCACTCATATGGGAGAAAGACCTTTTAGCTGCTCAGTTTGTGAGAAATCCTTTACACTGAATGGAAATTTACAAAAGCACATGAGAATCCACACAGGAGAGAAACCATTCAGCTGCTCGGTTTGTAAGAAATCTTTTAGACTCCGAGATGGTTTAAAGTTTCACATGAGGACCCACACAGGAGAGAAACCATTTAGTTGCTCTGAGTGTGGGAAAAAATTTCCCACCAGCACAGATCTGAAGAAACACGTGTATACGCATACAGGAGAGAAACCATTCAGCTGCTCAGTATGTAAGAAATCTTTTACACAGAAAGGACATTTACGAGTACACATGAGAAGCCACACTGGAGAAAAACCTTACAGCTGCTCAGTTTGTGAAAAATCTTTTCCATATAGTTGCAGTTTACGAAAACACATGAGAAGGCACACTGGAGAGAAAGGGGGAACCTCCAGCCAGCAGCTCAGCTGAACAGGTGGAAGCAGAAGCAGAGGGAGAGGACTGTGGAGGACCAGAACCAGCCAGGAACTCAGATCCAGATACACATTTAGAACATGAGACTGATGACAGGACTGGAGAGTCTTCTGAACCTGAGACTGTTGATAAGACTGGAGAGTCTTCTGAACCTGAGACTGAACACTGATGATGACTGGAAGGAGACCAGAGAACCTCAGTCAGGTTTAAACTCTCTGTAAAGTGAGGAAGTCCCAGTACATTGTGCGAAAGTTATTACGGTAAAAAAAACTAGGTCCAGGTGTTCTGAGTGTGTTAAAACATTTCTTATTCTAATCCTGGTTCTTCTTGATGACTTGAAGATAGCTGATGACATTTCCTCATCAGTGAATCATGAATCATTAACACTGCTGCCATTCATAATGTGAAAGTGCACAAGCACAGAATGACAACATGTTGATGTGATGTTTACATGCTGTAGGTTAAGTGTTTTCCTGGATATTAATTTGATCCATGCAGCTGGCTCAGATTAAACCTGAAAATGAAGGAGGGAGACCTCAGGTCTGATGTTTGTTTTAGGGTAATGGTTTTCTTTTTCCTCCATTGTCCTGATCTTACCTGGTAGTTTGACATGAGAAGAAAAAACAACAACTTATTTGGAGCTTTGTGATGAGAAATGTTTTGAAGCTTTTTGTTTGTAAATAAATATTATATTTAAAATACAAATAAATAATCAGTAATAAAGTAAGTTTAGTTCATGTCATTCTTCTGAATTTTAATCATTGAACTGCCTGTGTGTATTTCTGAGTATATCTTGAATTTCGGTAATGCTTCTGGACTTTTAATTTGAACCTCAGAAACTCACCTATGCCGGAAGCTGTATTCTTACTGTGGACAACGTCACACTGAACAAGATGGCGTCCGATAGAGAAGAAAAACAGCAGAGTGTCTTTGTTGTGTTTTTAAAGTGTGAAGATGTCTAAAGTCCAAATGCTGAGATCGTTGGTGAAGCAGCGACTAAATGCGGCTGCTGAAGAGATATTTGGGCTGTTTGAAAGAACGATAGCAGAGTACGAGGAGGAACTTTGTCGATCAAAAGAGGAGAACGAGCGACAACGGAAACTACTGGACGCTGTTTTCAACCCTCAGCTTCGGTTACACAGAGCAGGTTTGTTCATTAAACATTACAAGTTCATTATTAATGATATAACTGCAGCTTTGTTCAATAAATATTCAGTCTGTCGATGATTAAAGCCACGTTAGCTTCTCTGGTGTCGTTAGCTTCTCTGGTGTCGTTAGCTTCTGTGGTGCCGTTAGCTTCTCTGGTGCCGTTAGCTTCTGTGGTGTCGTTAGCTTCTCTGGTGCCGTTAGCTTCTCTGGTGTCGTTAGCTTCTGTGGTGCCGTTAGCTTCTGTGGTGTCGTTAGCTTCTCTGGTGTCGTTAGCTTCTCTGGTGCCGTTAGCTCCTGTGGTGTCGTTAGCTTCTCTGGTGCCGTTAGCTTCTGTGGTGTCGTTAGCTTCTCTGGTGCCGTTAGCTTCTGTGGTGTCATTAGCTTCTCTGGTGTCGTTAGCTTCTGTGGTGCTGTTAGCTTCTCTGGTGTCGTTAGCTTCTCTGGAGAACTTGGTGTGTCACACCAAAACCATAAAGTTATATCTGAACAACAAGAATTTACTTATATAGTTGAAAATTATGTCATTATGGAAACTTGAGGAATCACATACTGATGTACTTTAGTTTCTTATTGTACAGTAATTTTCTGATGTGTGCAGACTAATACCAGTACAGTTATCACTTTGAGTTCTACAGTTGTCCTGTTTAGATGTGTTTAATATCTATCCATGTTAAGTGATTCATTGCTGTGTCAATAGCCTGAGTGTCCTCTTCTTCAGAAAGACAACATTTTGAGGGGTATGTTGATCGCAAAATAAACATTTGTCAAATACAAGCCTTCTCAAGTTCAGGGGAGACATGTGGGTACCCGCAGACCTTATGATATCTTGAGGTGAGAATTTAAGGGACTCCTTAAATTGCCCATGTCAGTTGTCCTCTTCCCAAATTTTAGCCTAACTTTTGAGCTATATTAACCCTCTTACCAACAAGCTATACCCTCATGGTTCATCTCAGGTTGTCTTGTTTCACAACCTTTGTGCTACCTTAATAAATAAGCACCCCCACAGTAAGGTCACACTCTAACTATTTCCACTAGGAGGGCCAGTGGGGATCTTATTTCAGGCATCTAACCAACAACCCACTCCAACAACCCACTGAATTCAAGACAAGTGTAAAAGTACTAATTCTTTTCTGGATGGAAGACTGATTTCTGCAACACTCTATATACATGACAAAAACACTGTTCTTGGTTCTGTTTGGTTCAAATCAACAGCTCCAACCATCTGGTTGTTTTGTCATGTGACCACTCACAGCTGGTAGCACATCTACTGTGTATTACTTTATTACTCATCATGTTTTTCTTATTAAAATAATTTAATTAAATTATTTTGCTTCCTTTCATTTGTATGGTAATGAACTTGTATGTTCTGCAGATGTTTATCAATAACCTTTGTATTCCATAAAGTGAGGGAAAAAGCTGTTAAGTGACAATACCATCTGTGTGTGTTTCCTGTTTCCTGCAGACGTCCAGCAGCTGTTGGTGGTTAAAGAAGAGGTTCCCCCTGAGCAGCAGGAGTGGAGCTCCAGTGTGGACCAGGAGGACCCAGAGCCTCCACACATTAAAGAGGACCAGGAGGACCCAGAGCCTCCACACATTAAAGAGGAACAGGAGGAACTCTGGATCAGTCAGGAGGGAGAACAGCTTCAAGGGCTGGAGGAGGATGATATCAACAAGTAAAAATACACTCCTGTCCCTGTGAAGAGTGAAGATGATGAAGAGAAACCTCAGTCCTCACAGCTTCATCAAAGACACACTGAACAGGTGGAAACTGGAGCTGATGGAGAGGACTGTGGAGGACCAGAACCAGTCTGGAACTCAGATCCAGATACACAGATACAACCTGAGACACAGGACAGTAACAATGATTGGACTGAGAACAGAGAGTATCAGTCAGGTTTAAATATTCTGAAAGATACTGAAGTTCCCGTCAATGATTCAAGATGTTGTGCTGGTGAAAAACCACTCAGCTGCTCCGAGTGTGGGAAAAGATTTAGCCGCAAGACAGAGCTGAAGAGACACATGTGCATTCATACAGGAGAGAAACCATTCAGCTGCTCAGTTTGCAAGCGATCTTTTACACAAGCTGTAGATTTGCAGAAGCACATGAGAATTCACACTGGAGAGAAACCATTCCGTTGCTCAGTCTGTAATAACTTTTTTACGCAGAGTGGCGATTTGCAGAGACACATGAGAATCCACACTGGAGAGAAACCATTCAGTTGCTCAATTTGTAAGAAATCTTTTACACAGAGTGGACATTTACAGAAACACATGAGGATTCACACAGGAGAGAAACCTTACAGTTGCTCAGTCTGTAAGAAATCTTTTACACATAATGGATATCTTTATAAACACATGAGGTGCCACACAGGAGAGAAGCCTTACAGCTGCTCTGAGTGTGGGAAGAGATTCCTGCGCAAGGAAACCTTAGTTGTTCACACGAGAACCCACACAGGAGAGAAACCTTTCAGCTGCCGTGTTTGTGACCAGAGATTCACTTGGCCTCACCAACTCAGAAACCATCAGTGTGTTGGGTGTCAGTCCTCACAAACTCATCAAACTCCGACAGAGGAGAACAGAGAGGCAGAGCCTCCAGCCAGCAGCTCAGCTGAACAGATGGAAACAGAAGTGGGTGGAAAGGACTTTGAAGGACCAGAACCAGCCAGGAGCTCAGATCCAGATACATGTTTACAACCTGAGACTGATGACAAGACTGGAGAATTTTTTCAACCAGAGACTGAATACTGGTGATGACTGGAAGGAGACCAGTAAACATCAGTACTGTTAAAACTTTCTGAAAAATTATTAAGTCTCTCTTCATCATATGAAAATTATTACAAGCAAAAATGTCAAGGTTTTCTGATTGTGGCTAAAGTTTGTCTGCTAGACTCAGAAGTAGCACATGAGAATTCACACAGTGGAGAAACCCCTCAGTTGGTCATTGTGTGGGGAAAAGCTTTAAACAAAAAAATCACAAGGCAGTCACGTCAAAGGTCATAAGTCTGTCTTCGACAACAGCGGCAGTAAAACTGCTGGTTCACATGAAACTTTCAGCAGTGATTAAACTCTGGAGCAACAGTTGTGAACATGTTTAAAATGAGAACATCACAGAGTAAGTGTCAGTCTTATGCTGTGAGCAAACAGCATTTAGAGTTGGTAATGTTTCACAATGGTTAACAACACCCAACCATCTTTAAACTGAGTCATTCACAGTGTTTACTCTTTCACTAAACTGCTTTTATTTGTATTGACTTCAATAGGCTTTACATGTTTTGCATATTTATCTATTAGGGGCGTAATTACAACATACATAAGTTAATATCCTCCACTACACTGCCCCTCTTTCTTTTTCATTTATATACATGTTCATGGATGTTTATTGAAATGTGGTGAGACACAAGGAGCCCTGAACAGCTGATCAGAATCAGTTTAATCAACCCTGAGTTAAGCTCAAGTGCGGTGAATGAAAACAGCCATCATCAATGGAGCTCCGATACTATGATTCACCATGGCAACAGGTAAATAAAAGGCAGAAGCTCCATTTTAATCAGATGGATGTAGAGATATTGATGCATGAATTTGCCGACTGTGCACAAAAGGGGGTCAGTCAGAGAGGGGGAAAGTGTTAGTAAATTAATACAATTAAGTTTTATTCAGTGTTATCCATTTATCCATAAATGTATTATTAGGTCATATCCTACATTGCATTTTAAATGTATTTGGACAACTTTAATCTGACAAGGACAAAGCGCATGGGACAGAAACTTTTAATTTAATTTAATTTAATTTAACCCATATTGAACCAGGATAAAATTCTGGCTGGTTTACAAGGGAGACCTAGCTGAGACGGCAGCACGCAAAAAGTTACAGCCAACAACCTATTTGGAGTTTAAGGACTAAAGTTCAAAGCTCAATACATGTCAGTCTTTTGAAAAGTATATTTTAATCATTTCTCTTCCTGCGTGTTTTTCTGAATAATAGGGAATTTCTATTTCTGCGTTGAATCGACACCATAGCTACAGGGTCGGCTCCATGTCGACGTAGAGCTGACGCCATAACCTGACGTGCACCTCCCCAGAAATGTAACTACACATTGCGGTCACACAGACCTCCTGTCTGTTTCTGTAAGCTGACACCATTTCCCTCAGTGGAAACAAAGCTTTTATTTACTTTAATTTCACAGATAAGGAAACAATAAATTGTGAAGACAATAAAGCCTCCACAAAAACAGCATTTTTAGTCTGGTGGAAGGGGGAGAAGAAATCTCTGCTAGCTGCTGGGCTAATTTATACAGTGTAAAGTGCCATAGGCTTGTGCTAACAATGTTAGCATTTTGTATTTGTTTGAATAACGTGTTAAGTATAAGACAGTTGTTTAGTCAGTGAATGTTGTGAGTTGTAATGGAGCCAAATTGTGTGCCGTTACCTTTGTTAAATGTTGCTGTTGTCCCTGGTTTCATATGAGAGGAGGGAAAGATTGCTAGTTGCTAGGCTAATTTATACAATGTAAAATGCCATAGACTTGTGCTCATAAAGTTAGCATATTGTATTTGTGGGGGAAATGTGTCCAGAAAAAGACAAGTGTTTGTCTGTGAATGCTGCGTGTTATAGTGAATTTGTGTACTTGAAACTGTTTGAAACTGTCTCTATTAAGCCATGTTTAATGTGTGTTTAATGTGTGTTTTGAATCAACTAAACTGCACTTTTAAGAAACCTCCACCGCCGACTAGTTTTTTGGAGGTGTAACTGCAAGTAAAAATGCTCACAACAGCGTGGGCTCTGTTGCACAACCATAAATGCCGCTTCACTATGTTAATTATGGTAACACTTCTGAACTTTTATTTTGACGCTCAAAAACCCATCTGCCCTGGAAGCTGTATTCTTTACTGGCTCACGTCACACTGTTTGAGCAAGATGGCGTCCAATACAGATGCTTCAAAGAGTTCAGATAACAGAATGGGTTTTTCATTTATAATTCCAGAATTCACCATTAAAGTTTGCAAGAGAATCAGTGACGAGTTGTCCGTCTATACAGAGGAAGGTGATGGCTATATCATCAGCTGTACAGTGACTTTTATTTTGAACCTCAGAAACTCAGCACTTCCGGAAGCTGTATTATTTACTGTGGCTGACTTCACACTGAACAAAATGGCGTCGAGTACAAACGACTGTTAGCAGAGTGTCTTTGTTGTGTTTTTAAAGTGTGAAGATGTCTAAAGTCCAAATGCTGAGATCGTTGGTGAAGCAGCGACTAACTGCGGCTGCTGAAGAGATATTTGGGCTGTTTGAAAGAACGATAGCAGAGTACGAGGAGGAACTTTGTCGATCAAAAGAGGAGAACGAGCGACAACGGAAACTACTGGACGCTGTTTTCAACCCTCAGCTTCGGTTACACAGAGCAGGTTTGTTCATTAAACATTACAAGTTCATTATTAATAATATAACTGCTGCTTTGTTCAATAAATATTCAGTCTGTCGACGTTTAAAGCCACGTTAGCGTCTGTGGTGTCGTTAGCTTCTCTGGTGTTGTTAGCTTCTCTGGTGCCGTTAGCTTCTGCGGTGTCGTTAGCTTCTCTGGTGTCGTTAGCTTCTCTGGTGCCGTTAGCTTCTGTGGTGCCGTTAGCTTCTCTGGTGTCGTTAGCTTCTCTGGTGCTGTTAGCTTCTCTGGTGTCGTTAGCTTCTCTGGTGGTGCCGTTAGCTTTTCTGGTGCTGTTAACTTCTCTGGTGTCGTTAGTTTCTCTGGTGCTGTTAGCTTTTCTGGTGTCGTTAGCTTCTCTGGTGTCGTTAGCTTCTCTGGTGTCGTTAGCTTCTCTGGCAATCTCGGGGTGTCACACCAAAACTAAAAGCTATAACTGAATTCCAAGAATTTACTTACACTGTTGAAAACAATGGCATAATGGAACTTTACGGATCGCATATTGATTTACTTTATTGTAAAGTAAATTATTTTTTGGTGCATATGGACTAATATTAGTAAAGTTCATATTTTGAGTGAGCAGCTGTCTTGTTTAATGTTAAATATCCATATATGGTGATAAGGTGATTCATTGCCCTTTTAGTTGCCTGGTTGTCCTCTTCTTTAGAAAGACAAATACAGTTTCCATTTTAAGGAGTACACTGACTGGAAAAGAAACATTTACTGAGTACAAGCCTATTCAAGTTTAGGGCACCCTCCTGGGTACCCATAGACCCCAATTAATTCCAATATATCTAAGCCCAGTTTCCACCAAGCAGTACGGTATGGTTCAGTTCGGTATGTTTTTTTGTTTGTTTGTTTTTTGTTTTTTCCACTGTGAAAAGTTGTGGATGGTACCAATGGACCTGTTCCCTAACGTCCCCATGTTTGGTCCCCCCTCTGTTGGGGTACCTAGTACACAGATCTGGTACTAAAAGGTGGAGCTGCGAACACTGCAGTCTGATTGGTCAGTAGAGGATGGTCACTCTGCTCAGGGCTGAGTTGTGTCTGATTATGAGGCTCATGTAACCACTGTTCATACTGTGGAGAGTTTTATTAGTAAACTGTAACTATAAAATGAAAGGATGTTTTGCTGCCTCTCACAGCAGCTGGAGTCTGAGAAAAAATAACTTCATTCACTGGGCCGACTGCCGGCAACTTTTAAGGTGGAACGTTAACTTGTAATGTTACTCAATACATGAGTTGATGACGTGAATCCATCAGCACACCTTAAATTTCACTGTGACAACTTTGACCATCACTTTAGTTTTTATATGATACACACTTTTTGTAATGAGTTTCAAGTGTTTATATATATATATTAATTTCAGCCAGGTTATGTGAATTGCATATATTCTAATCTTCACTTGGAGAGAAAAAGGGTTGCGTATTGTCGAGCTACACAACACTAAACCCCTGAGCTTGCCTGAGAAGGACTAAAGGCACAAAGCTGCTATTTTTAAATATCCCATGGAGAGAGACTCTCACTGCAGCCTGTTCTGTTTTCTGCTGAAAATGTGGGCGTGCAGCCTCATTCTGTGGACGACAAACCAGGTGCAGACTTCCATCTGTGTCACCGCTGATGAGGAAATACAGCGAGTGCTGAACGGAGCAGTGAGTGACAACAACCCCGCCCACATTTAAGGAGTGGAAATGCCACGGTCTAGGTACCATGTTTGAAGGGTTACTTTCGATCAAAGGTACCATACTGTTTGGTGGAAACGGGGCTTTAGTTGGGAGCCATTGGAAAATGGCCTTGCCAGTTGCTCTCTTGCCAAATTTTTGCCAAAACTTTGGGCTATATTTAGCCCTCTTACCAACAAGCTATACCCACATGGTTCGTACCAATGGATGATGAATAAGCATCCCACAGTAAGGTCAGACTGTAATTATTTTCACCAGGAGGGCCAGTGGGGATCTTATTTCAGGCATCTAACCAACAATCCATTCAGTCAACACGAGGGATCCAAAAGTATAAAAATGCTGACTCATTCCTGCAGCACTTCATTGTGCATAAACATTGCAAAAACACTGTTCTTGGTTCTGATTGGTTAAAATCACCAACTCCAACTACCAGTTGTTTTGTCATGTGACCATTGATGACATCATCACAGCTGGTACATTGTATCTGTACAGTTTGTGTCCTTCTGGGTTCAGCAGTCTGTTTGGTCACTGTGCACAGGGAGTTTAAGAGGGAGTAATGGCTGGAAAAGCAGCGTATGTGTCCTACTGAGTATTACTTTTTTCTATACACTAAAAAATTATAAGACAAGACAATTTATAAGACATGTTTTGCTTTTTGAAAATAATTTAATTTAATTATTTTGCTTCCTTTCAGTTGTATAGTAATGAACGTATATGTTCTGCAGGTGTTACAGATAAATTTTGTATTCCATCAAGTGAGGAAAAAAGCTGTTAAGTGACAATACCATCTGTGTGTGTTTCCTGTTTCCTGCAGATGTCCAGCAGCTGCCGGTGGTTAAAGAAGAGGTTCCCCCTGAGCAGCAGGAGTGGAGCTCCAGTGTGGACCAGGAGGACCCAGAGCCTCCACACATTAAAGAGGACCAGGAGGACCCAGAGCCTCCACACATTAAAGAGGAACAGGAGGAACTCTGGATCAGTCAGGAGGGAGAGCAGCTTCAAGGGCTGGAGGAGGCTGATATCATCAAGTTCACATTCACTCCTGTCCCTGTGAAGAGTGAAGATGATGAAGAGAAACCTCAGTCCTCACAGCTTCATCAAGGGCACAATGAACAGGTGGAAACAGAAGTTGAAATAGAGGACTGGGAAGGACCAGAACGAGCCAGGAACTCAGATCCAGATACACATTTACAACCTGAGACTGATGACAAGACTGGAGAGTCTTCTGAACCTGAGACTGATGACAGTAACGATGATTGGGTGGAGACCAGAGAGTATCAGTCAGGTTTTAGCTCTCTGAAAAATGATAAAGTCCCTGTCAGTGATTCACAATGTAGGGCTGTTGAAAAACTATTTCGCTGCTCTGACTGTGGGAAAAGATTTAGCCGCAAGACTGAGCTGAAAAGACACATGTGCATTCATACAGGAGAGAAACCATTCAGCTGCTCGGTTTGTGAGAGATCCTTTACACAGACTGTAGATTTACAGAGACACATGAGAATCCACACAGGAGAGAAACCTTTCAGCTGCTCAGTCTGTGAGAAATCTTTTACGCAGAGTGGACATTTACAGAGACACATGAGAATCCACACAGAAGAGAAACCATTCAGTTGCTCACTTTGTGCAAAATATTTATCAGAGGGTGGATATTTACAGCAACACATGACGACACACACAGGAGAGAAACCTTTCAGCTGCTCAGTTTGTAAGAAGTTTTTTACACAGAGCGCTGATTTACACAGACACATACACACTCATATAGGAGAGAAACCATACAGCTGCTCAGTCTGTCAGAAATCTTTCACACATAGTGGGTATCTTCATAAACACATGACCTGCCACACAGGAGAGAAACCTTTCAGCTGCTCCGAGTGTGGTAAAAGATTCCCGCGCAAGGAAACATTAGTTGTTCACATGAGAATCCATACAGGAGAGAAACCATACAGCTGCTCAGTTTGTAATAAATCTTTCACACTAGGTGGAACTTTAAATATGCACATGAGGAGCCACACAGGAGAGAAACCATTTAGCTGCTCTGAATGTGGGAAAAAATTTCCCACCAAGACAGATCTGAAGAGACATATGAACACACATACGGGAGAGAAACCTTTCAGCTGTCCAGATTGTAAGAAATCTTTTACACAGCATGGGCATTTACAAGCACACATGAGAAGCCATACTGGAGAAAAACCTTACAGCTGCTCAGTTTGTAAGAAATGTTTTCCATATAGTGGAGGTTTACTAAAACACATGAGAAGCCACACTGGAGAAAAACCTTATAGCTGCTCTTTTTGTGAGAAATCTTTCACACAAAATGGAATTTTACAGAAACATATGAAAATTCACACAGGAGAGAAACCCTACAGTTGCAGTGTTTGTGAACAAAGATTCACTTGGCTTACACAACTGAAAATCCATCAGTGTGTTGGGTGTCAGTCCTCACAGCCTCATCAAACTCAAACTGAGGAGAACAGAGAGGCAGAGCCTCCAGCCAGCAGCTCAGCTGAACAGATGAAAACAGAAGCTGATGGAGAGGACTGTGGAGGACCAGAACCAGCCAGGAACTCAGATCCAGACACACATTTACAGCCTGAGACTGTTGACAAGACTGGAGAGTTTTCTGAGCCTGAGAATGAACACTAATGATGATTGGATAGAGACCAGAGAATCTCAATCAGACAGAAATTCTCTGGAAAATAATGGAGTCCGAGTGCACTGTATGAGAGTTATTGTCATCAAAAACTAGGCCCAGTCACTCTGAGTGTGTTAAAATATTTATCTACTCGTGTCATAAGTAACAGCTGAGGAAAAAACTAAACTAAGCACAAAAAGTAAGGAAATCTGTGTTTGATAGATTATTTCTTTGATACAATGTTGTAACAATGCTTCTTTGCAATAAATCTTATGCTGTTTACTGTTTATTTCTCTTTTAAATGGTGCCACATTTGTTAGGAACGTGCATTTGTGGGATGAGCAGCAGAGCTGAGTATGTGGGTTGCGCCCCTGAAAAATTTGCCTAACAGCTTTTTATGCTGTTGACTGTTGTTTGGTGGATTGGATGATTGAAGTCTGAAGAAACAAGACATATGAGCCATTTAACAATTTATTCATTTAACAAACAGCAGCCTCAGTGGCGTGTGAAAGAACCATACACAGCCACAACAGCCTGGCACCTCCTCCTCATGCTGGTCACCAGCCTGGTCACACACGGCTGTGGGATGGCATCCCATGGTTGTGTTGGTCACTCTGGCACGAACAGCACGCCCAAGCTGATCCCACAAGTGTTCAATGGGGTTGAGGTCAGGACTGCTGGCAGGCCATTCCATCCTCTCCACTCCCAAATTTTGGAGGTAGTCTCTGATAAACCACGCTCTGTGGGGGTGAGCGTTGTCATCTTGGAGGATAGAGTTCGGCCCCAGACTGTGAAGATGTGGGATTGCCACTGGCTACAGAATTTCATCTTGATATTTCTGCATTGAGACTGCCTCCAATGATGACAAGACTTGTTTTTCCAGTGAGAGAGATGTCGCCCCACACCATCACACTGCCTCCACCAAAAGATGTTACTCTATCGGTGCAGCAATCAGCAAAGAGTTCTCCGCAATTTCTCCACACTTTGACCCTATGATCCAGCTGCTATGAGACCAGAGATTGGCTGTGTGCACTCTGTTCCGGATTGTCTGGGCAAAACTTGACTGCAAATCTGTAGAAGACTGCCTACAGGTCCTAAGTGCTGACATGATGAGGAAACGGTCTTCTTGGGGTGCCGACTTCACAGCCTGTCTTTGACACTCCCCGTAAAATGTAACTTGGCCTTTATTTTGCAGACGGTACGAGGGCTCATTCCAAATAATGTGGCAACTTGGTTTTGCGGAACACCAGCTTGAAATTGCCCTATCGCATGGGCCCTATCCAGATCAGTCAAACGTGGCATGCTGATTCACACCTGACAGTCACACCTGATTGTCAGCACCTGGGGGTACCAGAAGCTCAAAACATGAGTCAATATCAACAGCAAAAAAAGCTGTTTGGCATTGGCAGAGAAAATTAGGCAAATTTTTCATGGTTGCAACCCACATACTCAGCTCTGCTGCTCATCCCACAAATACATGTTACTTACAAATGTGGCCCCATTTAAAAAGGGAAATAAACAGGTTTTCCAACTGTATAAGGATTATTCTCAAGAAGCATTGATGCAACAAAGAAATAATCTACCAAACAAATTTCCTTACTTTTTGTGCTTTTTGATCATTCAGCTGCTCAGTGTGAAAAAAGTTTTAAAGTAAAGATTCACAAGGCAGTCACATGTCAAAGGTCATAAGTGTGTCTTCAACAGCAGTGATGAAACTCTGGAGCAACAGAGAGTTGAAACAGTTGTGAACATGTTTAAAAATCATCTTCGCTCACATGCTGTATGTAAAGTGTTCTGCTGGATATTAATAATTCATCCATGCAGTCGGCTCAGATTGAACTTTAAAATGAAGGAGGGAGACTTCAGGTCTGTTATTTGTTTTGAGAGTTAATGCTTTACTTTGTCCTCTTTTGTCCTGATCCTACCTGAAGGGGAAATTGCCATACTTTGACATGAGAAGAATCTCCTTAACACCTTTTAATTGAGTCAGTCAGTGTTTACTGATTTATTAAACAACTTATGTCGACATCGTGGTGTAAAATGTTTTGAGGCTTTTGTTTCCAAGTTCAAGAATAAACCCTCAAGCTCAAGTGTATTTCAATCAATATTTTCCTGCGTGTTTTTCTGAGGCAGCCTGTAATTTCAGTAAAACTTTCGGACTTTTATTTTGAAGCTTATTAACCCCTCCTGCCCCGGAAGCAGTATTCTTACTGTGGCTAACTTTACACTGAATAAGATGGCGTCTTTCAGAACCAGGTGTTAGCAGAGTGTCTTTGTTGTGTTTTTAAAGTGCGAACATGTCTAAAGTCCAAATGCTGAGATCGTTAGTGAAGCAGCGACTAACTGCGGCTGCTGAAGAGATATTTGGGCTGTTTGAAAGAACGATAGCAGAGTACGAGGAGGAACTTTGTCGATCAAAAGAGGAGAACGAGCGACAACGGAAACTACTGGACGCTGTTTTCAACCCTCAGCTTCGGTTACACAGAGCAGGTTTGTTCATTAAACATTACAAGTTCATTATTAATAATATAACTGCAGCTTTGTTCAATAAATATTCAGTCTGTCGATGTTTATACGCGTCGTTAGCTTCTCTGGTGTCGTTAGCTTCTCTGGTGTCGTTAGCTTCTCTGGTGTCGTTAGCTTCTCTGGTGTCGTTAGCTTCTCTGGTGCCGTTAGCTTCTCTGGTGTCGTTAGCTTCTCTGGTGTCGTTAGCTTCTCTGGTGCCGTTAGCTTCTCTGGTGCCGTTAGCTTCTCTGGTGTCGTTAGCTTCTGTGGTGCCGTTAGCTTCTGTGGTGTCGTTAGCTTCTCTGGTATCGTTAGCTATGTGACCTCCCTGCCTTTTGATGCAGCTATAATTGCATTTCAAGAATGATGCTTATTTACTATTACTTTGCTGTTGAAATACCCTGCTCAAAAATTAAAGGAACACTTAATGGTCACAGTTTAACACCAAGTCAGTTAAACTGCAGGGATATCAGTCTGTAGGAAGCACAAGTGATTGTGAATCAGTCAGTCCCCTGACCTAAAGGCTGCCTAGTATTGCCACAGACTGTCCAGGAGCTCACAGGTCCAAACAGGCCGTACACAATACTGAGTCACATCATGAGCTGATGTGATAAAATTCACACAAGTTGGATCAGCCTGTGATTTCAATTTTTGACTTTGATATTCAGTGTGATTTTTTTTAATCCAGCCCTCAGTGGTTTGATGACTTTGGTTTCCACTGACTGTTGTTACGTCATTTCTTTCCCAACTTATTATACAATGTACATCAGAAAAGATTTTACACTTAAGTAATTCATTCATCAAGATCTGATGTGTGTGTGTGTGTGTGTGTGTGTGTGTGTGTGTATGGCTTGTTGAAAATGAGGTCATCATGGAAACTTGAGGAATCACACAATGTAAGTGTAAGAATGACTATGCATTTCTGCAGCACTCTATTACATGTTATAGAAAAACTGTTTGGTTCAAATCACCAGCTACAACCATCTGTATCTGTACAGTTTGTGTCCTTCTGGGTTCAACAGTGTGTTTGGTCACTGTGCACAGGGAGTTTAACAGGGAGTAATGGCTGGAAAAGTAGTGCATGTTTATTACTGTGTATTATACATTAAAAAAAAGCTGTAGTGACAGTCACATCTGTGTGTGTGTTTCCTGTTTCCTGCAGACGTCCAGCAGCTGTTGGTGGTTAAAGAAGAGGTTCCCCCTGAGCAGCAGGAGTGGAGCTCCAGTGTGGACCAGGAGGACCCAGAGCCTCCACACATTAAAGAGGACCAGGAGGACCCAGAGCCTCCACACATTAAAGAGGAACAGGAGGAACTCTGGATCAGTCAGGAGGGAGAGCAGCTTCAAGGACTGGAGGAGGCTGATATCACCAAGTTCACATCCGCTCCTGTCCCTGTGAAGAGTGAAGATGATGAAGAGGAGGAACCTCATTTCTCACAGCTTCATCAAAGATACAGTGAACAGATGGAAACAGAAACAGAAGGGGAGGACTGTGGAGGACCAGAACCAGGGAGACATTTACAACCTGAGACACATGACAAGACTGGAGATTCTCCTGAACCTGAGACTGATGACAGTAACGATGATTTAAAGGAGACCAGAGAGTATCAATCAGGTTTAAACACTCTGAAAACTAATCAAGCTTCTGTCAGTGACACAAGATGTATTGCTGTTGAAAAACCATTCAGCTGCTCCGAGTGTGGGAAAAGATTTAGCCGCAAGACGGAGTTGAAGAGACACATGTGCACACATACAGGAGAGAAACCATTCAGCTGCTCAGTTTGTAAGCGATCTTTTACACAAGCTGTAGATTTGCAGAAGCACACGAGAATTCACACCGGAGAGAAACCATTCAGTTGCTCAGTCTGTAATAACTTTTTTACACAGAGTGGGGATTTACAGAGACACATGAGAATCCACACGGGAGAGAAACCATTCAGTTGCTCAGTCTGTAAGAAAGCTTTTACGCAGAGTGGACATTTACAGAGACACATGAGAATCCATACAGGAGAGAAACCATTCAGTTGCTCAGTTTGTACAAAATATTTTACAGAGAGTGGATATTTACAGAAACACATGAGGATTCACACAGGAGAGAAACCTTTCAGCTGCTCAGTCTGTAAGAAGTTTTTTACACAGAGTGGAGATTTACACAGACATATACATACACATATAGGAGAGAAACCTTACAGCTGCTCAATCTGTAATAAATCTTTCACACATAGTGGGTATCTTCATAAACACATGAGGTGCCACACAGGAGAGAAACCTTTCAGCTGCTCCGAGTGTGGTAAAAGATTCCCGCGAAAGGAAACATTAGTTGTTCACATGAGAATCCACACAGGAGAGAAACCATTCAGCTGCCGTGTTTGTGACCAAAAATTCACTTGGCCTCATCAACTCAGAAACCATCAGTGTGTTGGGTGTCAGTCCTCACAGACTCATCACAGTCAAACTGAGGAGAACAGAGAGGCAGAGCCTCCAGCCAGCAGCTCAGCTGAACAGATGGAAACAGAGGCTGATGGAGAGGACTGTGGAGGACCAGAACCAGCTAGGAGCTCAGATCCAGATACACATTTACAACCTGAGACTGATGACAAGACTGGAGAGTCTTCTGAACCTGAGACTGAACACTGATGATGATTGGACAGAGACCAGATAATCTCAGTCATGTTTTTGCTGTGAACTTGTAGCTTCCTGTCAGTTGTTAGCAGTTAGCAGAAGGTTAAACTGTTACCACGGTACCTTTAAACATGAGGATTTATTCACTGTAAGCTGGTAACAAACACACAGTTCTCCAGTTCATGTATTTATAGCATCTGTAAGTCACAATGGAGCTCCATGGTCACAAAATGCAACTGCGAGTCACGGTTTGGAGCCCAATGGATACAAAACACACAAGTTGCACTGGTGCTCCGTGATCACAAAATGGTAGCGGTCTGGGGCTGTGATATAAAAACATGCATTACCTCTCCTGCTTACACGCGAGAGAGAATGACCTAACGGGAAGAGTGTGTGGGGTATCATGTTTGTGAATCTCTGGCTTGTGAAACAAAATGCTGAATCGTGTCTCAGCCCATGGCTTTAAAAAATCCTGTGACAATTTATACACAATGTTCACGACAGTCGCTTTATATATTGCATGGAATAAGCCGTGATTCATCGACTGTATTCAATATATCGCCCACCCCGAACTCCAACGCCACTGATTTTACAATAAACTGAATTAAATATACTATCTTACCAGTATCTGGAGAATGCTGTCATGCTACATCACAGATCCCTCACTGACCACAGAATCCTTCCAACGTCACATATTTGCCTCTTTTTTTCTTTTCTTCACAGGCTGTCCCCTGTAACTTATCTGTGCCTTTTTATTTGATGTAAACCAGTAACATCTGTAATAATAAATCACAATGAAGCAGCAGGTAGTGAAGCAGCAGGTAGTCAGGGCGTGGGAGAGATTAAAATTTTGTAACATAAATATTCAGTCAGAGTGTGTGAGCCAAGGCCATTAAGGTGAAAGCCATCACACTGGAAGAAAGCTGGGCGTTTCCAATAGTCTAATAAGACGGTTCATCAAATTTCATCCCTGCTGGATATTTTACAGGAAACTGTAAGTGATATTATTAGAAAAGCGAAGCGTTTAGGAACAACAGTAACAAAGGGGAAGATCGTGGAAAATCACAGAGCAGGGTCAACGACTGCTGAGGCACATGGTGCGCAAAAGTCGCCAATGCTTGGCTGGTTCCATAGCTGAAGAGTTTCGAGCTTCCACTGGCATTCATGTAAGACAAGAACGGTGCGGCAGGAGCTTTCTGGAATTGGTGTCCATGACAATCTTAATGCTTCAGCATACCAAGACATTTTGGACAATGCTATGCTTCCAACTTTGTGGCAACAGTCTGGGGAAGGCCCATTCTACTTCAACATGACTACGCCCCAGTGCACTAAGCAAGGACTATAAAGACATGGTTTGATGAGTTTGGTGTGGAAGAACAGACCCCTGACCTTAACACCATCAAGCAACTTTAGGATTAACTGGAACGGAGATTGCGAGCCAGGCCTTATCGTCCAACATCAGTGCCTGACCTTATAAATACTCCACAGAACGAATGGGCACAAATTCCCACTGAAACAGAACCTTGTGGAAAACCTTCACAGAAGATTGGAAGCTGTTACAACTGTGAAAGGGGACCAGCTCCATATTAAAGTACATGTATCTGAATACACTGTCATTACAGTCTCTGTTGGTATAATGGTCAGGTGTCTGAATACTTGTGTCTACATGTGTATGCACTAATTGATGAATGAAAGATTAAAAAAAAAAAAAAGACAAAAGAAAACCTTCAGCTGCTGATTTTGTGAAAAATATTTCATACGGTGACAGAGCTGAGAATCCACTCAGCGAAGAAACCCTTCAGCTGCTCAGTGTGTGGGAAAACTTTTTAACAACAGATTCATCAGGCAGTCACACGTCACAGGTCAGCAGTGTGTGTTTTTGTAACTCTGGAACAACAGAGAGTTGAAACAGTGCTGGATATGTTTGAAATGAGAACATTAGAGTGTCTATATTTATCTGTTTGCGGCATATTTGCAAGAGAGCAAAATGATTGTCCTCCCAGGCTCACAAAAGGGTGTGTCTGTGACAACCAATCACATCTGTTAAAAGAAAGCATCACACCTAGCAACAGGGTCAACCACACCCCTCAGTAAGATAAAAGTTTCTGTCCCTTCCTTGCTCAGAGTTGCTCTCAGAGCTTTCCTAAATCACTCCTAAGCTAAGACTATGTTCACACATCAAGGAATGTACGTAATCTTCCATTTAATTACTTGAGATTAACAGGAATCACAAGGGTATTTACATCTATTGCTCCAACTCCAGTCCAGTAGGTGGCGGTAATGCGATTGAAAGCTGGTTCGCCAACTGCCATTAAACCTCATTAAGAAAGAAAGAAGATGGCGTCTTTCAGAACCAGGTGTTAGCAGAGTGTCTTTGTTGTGTTTTTAAAGTGCGAACATGTCTAAAGTCCAAATGCTGAGATCGTTAGTGAAGCAGCGACTAACTGCGGCTGCTGAAGAGATATTTGGGCTGTTTGAAAGAACGATAGCAGAGTACGAGGAGGAACTTTGTCGATCAAAAGAGGAGAACGAGCGACAACGGAAACTACTGGACGCTGTTTTCAACCCTCAGCTTCGGTTACACAGAGCAGGTTTGTTCATT